TGTGGCAAGAAAATCCCTTGTTTCTGACGACAAACGGCGAGGCGAGGCAAACACATTTTATTTTCAGAAAATGTAAAGATGTGCAAACAACAAGTAAATGTATGCCAGGCGATAACTCAGTACTAGTCAGAACCGGCCACGGGATGCTCACACACGTTATCACGCGCGTCCTTGTCCTCAAGCTATAACTGCCAACGACACCGTGATTTCGCAATATTTGCCTAGCAACAGCGCGATCTACTAGCTTGCCAGTGCGTACCCGCGGGCTGACCTTCTCTTCACACGCTAAGTATGGCAAGTAATCACTGTGCGCTGTGATCACGTGTGCACCGCGTGGGCGCAGTAACCTCATCTGATTGGCATGTTTACGCGCAACATGGCAATTTCAATATTTGCTCGGCCCTCCGGTGAGAAGGCAACTGCGCAGTTTTGCACACGGCACTTGCCAGCCGAGGCGTATATAAGGCAAGCGGCGCGGACTAGTTGCCAGATCATCGAGCAGGCAGAATATTCTACGATCGCTAGCCAGAGAAGAGGAAACACTCAACGTTACTATGGCTGATTCACAGGGAAAGTGCTGCGGAGCTGGTGAGTATCGTTCATGTATTTCAATCTTCATCTGAAACCGACCGTTTTCTCGGTTATCTCTCATAGTTATTCTGTATCGCAGTTATATATGCGGTTTTATGGCGGGTGCATGCGTTTTGCCTAAGTAGCTTTTGTAAACGGGAGCTAGCAAACGTTCGCTTTCTCTCTATGTTTAGATTTTCACTTGCGTTCATTACGCGGCGAAACATATCGCCGGGATTCGAACCCGCGATATTGTCTTCATCGTATTCCCGCCGCAATCACGGTGTGTCACATGTTTTCTCTTGTTCCCACAGCTAACTGCAACTGCGTCAACTGCAAATGCGGTGACCAGTGCAACTGCAAGGACAACTGCGCGCAATGCGCCAAGGTCTGCAAATGTTATCAGGACTGCAAGCTGCAACCCGTTGCCACTCTGCGGGCAGGGTGCAGGCAACAAGTGGTTTATCGGGACTAACGGTTTCGACACAAAGCTCACGCGAGATCGCCGCTTGCGAGGCGCAATTTTTAACGCGTGTCACGTCGAATATAAGCGTGTTTGAGTTTACAACCAGATAAATGCGTATCAACAATAATTACCGCATGATTCCTATCCCCCGCTCGTTGCAACATTCTAACATAATCTACTCATGTGTTTCCAAGCTTGCAAGTTTGTCCGACTGAAGTGCGGCTCTAGACCTGCAACTGTGCAGGCTAGCTGCGACTTGCAGTAAAGGTTGCAAGTGCAATCCTTGCAACGTGCACCAAATGCGACCTGCCGGCAAAGTGAGGCGACTTTCTGAACGAATCGCACCACGGAGCAGAAAAAATAAATTATATAAATCATGCATCGATAAATGATTCCGCGTGTAGAAAATCCTTGTTTATCTCGTACGTTCTTCATATTCATGAACGATCTTTGTTAATGAACGTACATTAATAAACGTAAAACACATGAAATCTTAATCGAGTTTACTGAGATGTTCATTCGACTTCTACTCACTGGCGACGATCTTAATGATTTGGTTTTCAAGCCATTATTTGTGCAGAACACTTGCCGGCATGAGATTACAATGGTTGTTATTCAAATGTATTTGAGTCAGTGTAAATAAATTGTTGGTATTATAAAATTTTACGCAAGTAATTGTACCTTTGTTTGATATCCTAACGATTATTTGTGCCACCTATAGATTTTTAACAATTCAGCAACGAAATCAGAGCCCCCTTCCGAAATGAAACACTGACTATATGAAATAGTAGAATAACAATTTCACGTGAACATATTTTGGCAATCACTGACCTCATGGCAAACGCATGCGCAATCACAGATAAGTGGCAGTATTCTCTGTGGAGTAATGAGCTATATAATAAGTTATTACATAGAAATGTTTACTGTATGTAGAATTGCCAATCCATTTCTGCGTTGCGTTCAATCTCTGCTCAACAATTCCGAATTACATAGAGAGAAAAAGACGAGGAGATGAGAGATAGAGATAGGGAGAGAGAGAGAGAGGACGAGAGAAGAAGCACGGAGAGAGAGAGAGAGAGAGCGAGAGAGAGAGAGAGACGCACGTGAGAGAGAGGCGAGAACGAGCGAGCCGCAGAGAGAGAAGGAGAGAGCAGCGCACTCGAGAACGATGAGAGCAGCGCACCAGAAAGAGAGAGAGAGAGGAGACGAGAAAGAGAGACACACACACGGCACGCACGGGCACGCCACGCACGTTAAAGTAAGCGTTAATGTAAGCGTCTTTAGTAACGATTAAACCTTTTGAAGTGCCACACAAAGCCACGCGACTTAATAAACCAATAAATTAACCTTTGGTCTATTTTGGTGCGCTCGTGACATCGAGAACCCCATGCTGATTAATTTCCGTGGGAATGCTTTGGCCAATCGAAACAAAACCCGTTCATTTTTGACAGTGACAGTCGCGACAGGGAAAGCTCTATTTCACGCAGTAAAATAGCATCAATACCCCGAAAATATAAGGTTCACAATGGAATCGATTAGC